AAGCCCAAGGAGTGGTTGCGATGAGTCGGATCCAACTTGATGACAGTGAGGGGTTTTATTTATTTATTTATTTATTTATTTATTTTTGAGTTAGAAAATCAAAAGGGAAGAACACGCTCAACATTTCTGAAGCTGAAGGAACTGAAGAAAGAATTCAAGCCTCAAGTTGAAGTACTGAAGGATTTAATAGGCAACATATTGAAGGATTCTATAGGCAAAATATTGAACAATTCAGGAAGCATCAAAAGAAGATGGAGGGAAATACAAGTCAATGTATTACAAAGAATCAGTTGACTTTCAACCATTTCAGAAAGTAGCATATTATCAAGAACCAATGAATGGCATTAAAAGAAGAAATCAAAGGTATTAAAGAAGAAGTAGCTGCACTGAAGAAATTGGCAAAAATATGAGGCTCCAGGAATTGATGGAATACTAATTGAGATGTTTCAACAAATGCCAAAAACTCTGGAAGTGCTGACTCATCTATGCCAAAAAATTTGAAAGACAACCACCTAGCCAACCAACTAGAAGAGATTCTTATTTGTCCCCATTTCAAAGAAAGGTGACCCAACAGAATGTGGAAATTATAGAAGTATCATTAAGATCACACAAAAAGAAAATTTTGGTGAGAACAATTAAAAAATGTTTGCAGCAGTACCTTGGCAGAGAAGTGCAAGATATTTAAGCGAGATTCAGAAGAGGACATGAAATAAAGGATATCATTGCTGATGCCAGATGGATCATGGCTGAAAGCAAAGAATACTAGAAAGATTTTTACTTGTGTTTTATTGACTATGCATAGGCCTTCAACTATGTGGATCATAACAAATTATGGATAAAATTGAAGTAATGGAAATTCCAGAGCAGTTAATTGTGCTCAGGTGGAAACTGTATGTAGACAAAGAAGCAGTCTTTCGAAAAGAACAAAGAGACACTGTGTGGTTTAAAATCAGGGAAAGTGTGCATCTGTGTTGAATAATTTCACCATAATTATTCAGTCTGCATGCTGATCAAATAATCTAAGGAACTATACTATATGAAGAAAAAGATGACATCAGGATCAGAGGAAGACTCATTAACAACCTGCATTATGCAGATGACCCAACTTTGCTTGCTGAAAACAAAGAGGACTTGAAGCATTTACTGATGAATATCAAAGACCTTTAGTATGATTTACACCTCAACAAAGAAAACAAAATTCCTCACAACTGGACTAATAAAGAATATCATGACAAATGGAGAAAAGATTGACATAGTCAAGGATTTCATTTTACTTAGATCCACATTCAATGGCATTGGAAGGAGCAATCAAGAAATCATTGCATTGGACCAGTCTGCTGCAGCAGACCCTTTTAAGTGTTCAAAAACTAAAATGCCATCTTGAAGATGAAGGTGTGCCTAACCCAATCCATTGTACCTTCAGCCACCTAATCTTCTTGCTGGACAATAAATAAGAAAGATCACAGAAAAATGAATGCATATGAATTATTGTTCAGTTAAGAATATAGAGGGGATACCATAGACTGCCAGAAAAATGAACAAATCTGTTTTGGAAAAAGTAGTCAGAATACTTTTTAGAAACAAGGATGGTGAGACTTCATCTCATGTACTTTGGACATGTTTTCAGGAGAGACCATTCTTTGGAGAACTACATCATGTTAGTAATGTAGAGGATCAGCAAAATAAAAGGCATTCAACAAGATGGATTCACACAGTGGCTACAACAAA